TTCAGTTGTTCTTAGCTCCACCCTCTCGTGATACTTCTGGTTGCCAGAAAAAAAGAGATGGTAACGGCCAAAAATCAAGATGGCGACGCATGAAATTCGAGAGTCAAGGCTTCAAAACAGTAGTCCACAAAACAACGGGTGACTTCAACATACGGTCTATCGCAAAAGCTTCAGCAGGAAGTGGGTCTGGGTTCTTGGGTAGTACTTTTACCGTCCACCTACATGTCCTCTTCCTGATAGGTTCGTCTAACCTTGAGTTGTTTTTTTTAACCTTTCTGATCATCTGACTGCTCGTGTATCTCGACCCTTCAGACTTGGGTTCAGCCTGGACAGGAGGCAGTAGTCTACATGGGCCAGATGGGATATGTAATCCCACCAGGGCGTTCTGTCTGCTTCAGGCTCTGTCCTGGTTTGCCCTAAGACTTTCTTCAAGCTTCTGTCAAGAACTTCCATAGGAGCATAAAGGTGCTGGTAGAAGAGCTTGTCAGATGGTAGAACAGCTGTAGATGCGTCTTGTGATTGGCTCTCACTTCTAGTTGGACAACACATTGTGCAAACAAGTTCATTTCTATCTTAACCCTTCTTTCTGTCTCTAACCAGTTGTTCTTATGCTTCATCTTAACCTCACTGATGAACAAGGCAGAGATGTTTTAACCTGTGTTCCCAGATCTCAGTAATTACCCTGGAGAACAATATTATTATTAATGCTAAGAATGATTGCCAAGCCTCGTCCAATTAAAGTTGTAATAAAGCAGAATTATCCTTTAAATTCAAAGAAACATTTTGCTTTTGAAGCAGGTTATTTAACAGTACCAATGCTGATGGAGTCTTCCCTTATGTCCTTCAGTTGGAGAATAGGAGTCAAGCTAGTTTTAGGGTGGCTTCCCACCATCAGTCTCTGAGGAGCAGCTTCTTGCAGCAGGTGGTGAACAAAGATAATGATTGTACCATGTCCCTTTGATGGCCAACTGTCAAAAAAATAAACTCTTTTACAAATAAATACAGTATTTACAGACACACGTGATTGTTGAAAGCTTGGTACTTCATTGTAAATTGCTTTAACTTCACTCCACCAGCAGCCTTTGGCATACTGGTGTGGACAGTAACTGGCTCTGTTCTGCTGATTGTGTCCGTTGTTCATTTCCATGCTGTTGATTTGTTCTGTAGAAAATAGGAATTTTGCTTTTTGTAAACCTTGTTATGTACATCAGCAAACACCTGCTGAAGGGAACTGATCCAGGGTCGCTTCTTCATTTGACCAACAATTCATGGTTCCATAATAATAATAGTTATTTTGGAACAGATTCAGTCCAGCTGTGTGTCACAGGGCTGATGAAGACTCCCCTTCTGTCCTTTGTTGCTGCAGAGCTGCTCTTAAATGGTAATGAGACCTTCAAACAGGGTCACGTCTTTCATGCTCACGACAAGTTCAGAAGTTTGGACGTGCCTCCACGTCGTTGCGTACTTACTCCTGTAGGATGTTGAAAGAGCTATAGCACTTTCACAAATGCAACCACTGGAACAACAGGGGGCGTCTTATTCAACTTCCTGGGTTAAAAACCATTTGAAGGCCGTATAACACTGGTCTGCAAACCGAAGATCAGCATCAGTCAGCTAACACTGTTGTCCACATTTGTGCACTGATCATTTCACCCAAACTGCAACCCAACATGGGCCAAAAAAACCAAAGTGCTTGCTCACATTTTTTTTAGCAGCTTAACAAATGACAGCGAACGATGAAGCTTTGAGAAAGTAACAAGAAACAACCTCACCAAAGTCTTCCATTGGCTGGATTGTTCCACAGATGACATCACATTTAGTCCTGGGGAAGAAGGAAGCAGGTGTGTTGGCGGTCACACATCCAGTATAAAAGAGCTTCTTCTACACTGTCAGATGCTTCTTGACTCTCCCACTTCAGTTGATACCATCAAATTCCACCGTGTTCCATTATTTAGTCTATACTTCACAAAGAAATGGGTTTGGAACAACAATGTCCCGCTGGGTGAGGTCTGCTCTCATTCAAATGACATGAGGTTTGCTGGTATCTGTTGAAAGAATGGTACATATTTAGCACAACAATAAGCTGCTGGGAAAATAAATACACCAAGTACACCAAGCCACTCGTAGGTCTTCTTTAGAGGCTACTCTATGTTTGTACCTCTGTAACGGTGGGAACTTCATCATTTTACCCTGGAAGGCATTTCTGTGAAGTTGTCAGTACTAGCATATCCATTCTTGAGCTAAATGTGTTTTGTGAAGTCACAGTGACCTTTGACCTGAATCAGATTTAATGCTGTCCAAGTGGACGTTTGTGCCAAATTTGAAGAAATCCGCTCAAGGTGTTCCGGAGTTATCGTGTTCATGAGAATGGACAAACAGACAGACGGACATAATGCGTCCAGCGCGTCTGCATACAAATGGACATCATACAGAACAGTGTGCCATCATAGGTCATCACATGGTGCCGATATCAACCCCTTCTCATTGCCTGAAATGATCAATAAGTTGCAAAAAAGTAAATTCAGGTAATAATTCAACATTTAAACTCAGTCAGTTGAATTGTGGAGGTATTTTTGTCTAAGTATTGTGTTCATGCATTTAAATACAAATCAAAATCATCTCTTTGTAATGGTCCACAGCGGTGAGAGGTCTCTGTGGATTGTTCAAGTATTTATGGTAAGAACTTTGCAGACCACATATCTTATACTGTATATTTACATTACAATTCATCCGTCTCTTCAGCAAAAACAGTTGTTTCATCCGACCAGACTGAGTGTGCTGAACATACCTGAGGTCTACTGCTCCTGCAAGCCTCCTCCAGGTTTTTGTGCCAGATGATGGCTGAAAACCTGGATCCGGTCTGGAACTTGTAAACATTGCCTGTGAAGTGACACAAATAGCTGCGTGTGAATATCTGAACTTAACGGACAAAGTAAAACAGCAGCAGCTCTGTCGGAGCGGAGCGGACCTTTGTCTGGGTCGTTGAGCTGGAAGATGTTGGGTCTGGCTGAGTCATCTGGCAGCACCACCATCCATCCAGTCACACACACCTTCTTACAGGGGCTGGACTTGTACTGTGGCAAACACATGATTAATTCATGTGCATGTTATTATACATTACTAAACTGCTTTCTCATTTTTATGTTAGCATTCAGATTGACAGTACAAAGGATGTAAAAACACAGCTGTACAGCTGTTTATAACACTGTAGTCCATCTCACACATGTACTGCGCTGATATAGAAATCCCCTGGAGCTGTGAGTGAGAACGAATCAGTTGAGGCAGACATTAAACAGACAGCTCCCTAGGTCTCCAAAGGTCTGTGTAATTTGCGATTGAGCCCATGTGTGAATAGAAACCCTTTTTATTGTCATACACATATACACATACACGAAATTTGACCTCTGCATTTGACCCATCCCTGTATATAGGGAGCAGTGGGCTGCCAATGACAGGCGCCCGGGGAGCCGGGGGTTCAGTGTCTTGCGGGACACTTCGACACGTGGCACGTCCCAGTCGAGGATCGAACCGTTGACCCTGCGGTTACCAGACAACCCTCTTAAGCCAGTGAGCCCCAATACAGCAGTTTGTTACTTACGTGTTTCCTCTCTGAGGCCCTCAGTGCTTTCGCCCCATAGAACGTCAGCGTTGATCCGGACAGAACGATCCAAAACCTGGTCCACGATGACAACTGCAATGCAGAAAAAGAAATGGTCACGCTGCAAACTCTCGTCAGATGACTCCTTTTCAACTTTTCTGACGTGGTCGGTGTTTAGAAGAAAACAGAGCGGCTTAAACCAGAGTGGTATCACAGATCAGCGCACCTTGGGCTTCCGTCCCTCCTTCAGCAGCGTTTTCCTTCGCAGGGGTCCTTCAACGGTCACGCTGCTGGCCTCACTGCATCCATAGCAGGAGTTGCCAGCAGAGGAGCTGAGGGCGATGAAAAGGGGAGAAAAGATGCAAGGGGGGGTAAGTAAGAAACTGAAGCAGATTTGTGACCAGTATTAAGAGTTCAGTGTTTGACACAATATGATGCTCTGTGACAATGACGAGACTCACTTCTCTACTACTCTCTATCAGCCTCAATAGACCAGAATTCAATGCAGGATGTGTGGGTGTGGCCACACAAATGTAACCCTCTGTTACTTCTGTCCCTATGATGATGCCATATTTGACTTCATGATAGTCCAGGCCATAGAATGTACTGTATATAAAGTTGGATGACATCACAGCTCCCTGTAGAGTGAAGCCAAAACATCTCCATCACCCCCTTTTGGCAGGTTGCAGTATAGGTCATGAATCGCTATGTTAGCGGATGGGATATGGGCCAAACTACAAAAAATCAAAGTATGCGCCAAATTATTTTAAAGATGATTTCTGGAAATGTATGAAGACTAAGAGATGTAACTTTAACGTTCCATAACCTTGATTGTCTGCTTTCTACCCCTTTATCTAAAGTCATTGGTTCATACTGTCACTTTATAGAGATATTATGGTTAGTTGTAGCCAACCAGCTCGTGTGGTGCTAATGGAGCAGCTAGGTAGCTCTCACGCTAACAAGCTAGCGGCCGTGCTCGCGACTGGGTCGGGCACGGCCTCGACACCACGGCTCCACTAACCGATCACAACTGCTCAGCCTCTGGCTCCGAATGTGCAAGATGGCAGCTCCCGTATCCGCGATATTTTGGCTTAATTTTTCTACAGGAGGAATCAGAGATGCGTCGTCCTTCTGTATTAACAGTCTATGCTATAGACTCTGAGTATCACTATTGTAGAATAAATGCAATGTGAACAAAGCGGAATGAAAATAGTGTGATCACACAACAGTGTATGACAATGACAGTGACTTTAAAGTTTTTATTCTGAAAGTATCCTGTTCCTGTTTTACAGGATGACATTGAAAACCCCGTTTCAGACTGTGATTGTAACTACAGGGTCAGCTCAGTAGGGATGTAACGGTTACTGGTTTCACGATAAATGGTCCGTCTAAAACTTATTTATCATTATCATTTACCGCCAGTCTATTGCAAGGCTGGCTTAATGTTGGCGAGTGTGTGTACGGTTTATTTGTTGGTGAATAAATGCTACAACTCCTCAAGAACCAAGTCAAGTTCCTGTGTCTTGCTAGCCACCTGCTGACCAAAGCGAACCGGGCTAACTTAAGGTGAGCTGACCTTTAAAGAGGACCAGCTATTCTGCGACGTGGGTCGACTTCGTCACAAGACTCCTCTGTAGACATGTCAATTGTTGGGGTAGTTGCTATTACTTAAATGCAACACAGATTATAGACTTTGTTTGTGTGTGTGTGTGTGTGTGTGTGTGTGTGTGTGAGAGAGAAAGAGGTAAAAATAAAATAAAAGAAAGAAAAAGAATCATCCAGGTTTTGAGAAATGTGTTGATGACTGGGTATTGATCCTTTGGTATTCATCATTTTTCTAACAGTAAAATAAATCAGCATCCCTATAGACAGCTGTATAAAGAAAATCAGCCACTGTACTTGGAGCTAGGAAGTACAACCCACAGTCAGATTAATTTACTGAAAGCTAAAATAAAAATGACCAACATGCAGTGAAGGGATGAGGTGAGATAAACCACAGTAAGAGTCTAGCTTCTGTTACCCCATAAAGAAGAGCTCATTCTTATTTAAAGGGATATCGCCCTCTTACTCTCCTACTTCCACTGTACCTGTAAACATAGCTGCGGCTCCGGGGGGAGTTGCGAAGCGGGACCCTCCAGTTGGGGCCCAGTGTTGCGTACATGCGGCCCCTGTTTGTCACACATTGTCACAGTCAGTCTCAAGCTCATGGATTTTACTGTTTGATAAACAGAACTGTTCAATGTATCTCACGTCACCAGAAGAACCCAGAGTGTAAACTAAAGCAAATTTAAACCATTCACAGTACTGAGATACATACATGGTCATATTGTCCAATCACAGCCTGTTTATAATCTGCCTCTCATGGATACATTTGAAATATTTATTCTATGTTCTTGCTGGGACAAACATAGATATACAGTATGATTAACATGACATAGGGTGTTAGCAACATTCAAATACATTGATATTATATGCATAATGAATATGCAGAGTCTTTTAAAAATGTTGCACTAAGACATTTTTGGTTTAGTCTTTTCATGGGATAACTGTCTAAAATAACATAAAAAAAATAAAAAGAATCTTGTCAGCCTCATTCTCCAACAGAACCTGTCTGTTGGTTTGCGATGACTTTGAGGTGGTGATGTTGTTTAAATGGGATGAAAGCAGGCGGGAGGCAATCGTTTTTGTCCTCAGCTTGATATCTAAATACTTAAATAAACCACTTAAATGCTCGGCACACTTTACTTGACATTTTAAAGTAATTTAAATATGTAATGATTGGCTCTCACCTCTCCATTCCAGGTGACAGCTCCTCCCCAAAAGAGCTTTCACTGCTGCCTGTCAGGCAAAACACAAGAGTTTGTGAGGAAAGCTAATCAGGCATTTATATACATATATACTGTATATACATATAGATCAGTGGTGGGCCGTGCATTTTATACCTGGGCCTTCACTGCTGTCCTGCAGCTAAAACACCACCTAATAACCTCATGATGGCGCCACAGCTACGGTTATTTGTTTCTAGGGGTGTAACAATACACGTGTTCGTATTAAACCGTTTGGTACAAGGCTTACCAATCGAACAATACGTTTGAATAATACTAGTGCATTTGGAAAATTCAGAAGCTTAAATTGTGGGAAATATAATATTTTCGGTGGACTGCACTCACGTAGGAGACAACGGGCTGTGACCTCTGAACCCGGAACAATGACATAAAACAGCCGAGGGCCCGCACTTCTGGGAGGCTACGCTAAACTAGCTTTACAAACAATAACTCCGTGCATGACGGTATGCTTCGTAATTAACGGACAATGCATATAGTCCAAATCTATATAATTAACACAATGACAACAACAAACTCACAAGAACCAGTCACATATATTCATGTGACAACAAAGCAACAAATCCATCCAGCAGACCTGCAGCAACACGCATTCTGCTACACACTCGAGGGCCATTCAGATATTAGATGTAAAAAAACAAACGCAGTTGACTTACCAAATGCTGTTCACTTAAAGACAAAGTCCATCCTCCTTTCTTTGTTGACAAAGAGTTTAATCCCAACTCACTAATCCATTCCTCCTCCTTCAGCCATTGAGTATTAAAAAACAAAGCTAGATAAAATAATCTACACCAAGCAAAATGCTAAAAATGTCATAATTTCTTCCATATCTTTCAATTTGAACTCTTACTACTCCGACTAAGCCTCTGCTTAAATTTCATTTTCCAACAGTCACGTGCTCGCCCACTGACCAATCACAGCACACACTGCACCTCACAGCGCACACTGCACCTTAAAACTGAGCTGCACGTAATGCTGATGTACTTGTAGGCCAGCTAGCAGGCTCTGGCACGTCAAAGAATACGCCCAACATAACTAAAACTAAAGATCTGATTGGTTGAAGACTATGACAATCAACAATATCGTCCCCATTCACTTAAACTGCACATGGATGCACTTGTGAGTGTGCAGGCCTCGGGCCTCTCTTCTTACCTAGAGACACAGAGGTGAAATCTGATTGGATAAAAGCTCTACTTAAAACAAGCTGCACTGGAAGCAGAGCAACTGAGGAAGACAGTAGCTGTGCAATGACAAAAATAAGATCATGGGAAAATGACGGCACGTATGAGCCTCAAGACGCACCGTCACAAGAAGAATACACGAGTTGTATGAAAAGGAGACGACTACAAAAGCGACGGTGTTACAACGTGCACCAGCTGTTGCTCTCACTGGAGACTACTGGACATCGCTGGGTAACCATCATCACCTCGGAGTTACAGCATTATATTGATGAACAGTAGAGCTGCATTCACATGCTCTGACTGTCAATGAAGACAGACATTTAGCTGAAACGTGCTGAAACATTTTATTCATGTTGCACAGCAGTGGAACGTTTCACATACAGTCACACACTGAGTACAGATAGTGAAGAGATAGAACTGCTGCTGTGTAAAGAGAATGCTGCTGTTAACAAGAACCTGATATGTTTAAAGTGTTTGCAAACCAAATGTTATTGACCTTTTGTTCATATAGCAGTACTTTTAAAATAAAAGTGCACAATACACTACTTTTCATTATTGAACTTTATCGCGATTAATCGCAAAAAATCCATGTGATTAATCGCGATTACAAATTGTAATCGTTGCACAGCACTAATTAATATATATATATATATATATATATATATTTTTTTTTAACATGGGCGGAGGCAGAAAGTGGACGGCGCTTCTCTGCAAACCGCGGTGCCCGGCATGAGACGATGTACACCTCAGTGCTGCTTAAGGTGCTTGATCAAAAATGAAGCAGGCACTTCATTCAGATTACACAAAGAGTAAAAATAAAGACCAATCGTATGATAGCTTATGAAAAGTTAATTCTCATTTTTCGTGCGTATTTCAAAAAATGTCCAGCAGCACGAGCGATCAGTGTGCCTGTGTAAACTCCTGCAGTGTTTAGGAGACAAGACTACTTGGTCAGTTTTAGGAAAAGATCGTGGTTTTAGGTTTGTTATGTACCCACTAACTTACCCACGCGGCGTTAGTTCAACAAAATAAGTTAAATAAGGTAAAATAAGTCAACAACAAGTCCTGTGTCTGTTTGACCCCACCATCCACCCAGACCTCCTCCCTACGTGAACTTTGTTGCTCTTTATATTAAGTCACCTCACTTTCTTAGCGGGCAGCCCTGCACGTCCTGGCTCACTGTGACATAGGTTATAAATTACAGTGCACTACTTTTTGTAGGTATAAGGACAAACTGTGGATGAGAACAGCCTGAACTATTCAGTGTTACACTTCTACAGCACGGACACAGCGTCATTGTATCTGTCATGAAGCGAATGTCACTGCATGTTATAATGTTGAAAATAATGAACCGTACCGTGGATACATACCTAGAGACAGGCCGTTGGACACAGACGTACTGTGCGGGTCATTTCTCACTGGACTCTGAGACTCTAAGAAGCTGTCGTCCAGCAGGTGTCGTGCTTTCTCTACGGGAAACGTGGCGCTCCGGCTTTCTGACATGCCGTACTGACACATCATGCTGCGGACACAACGGGGAAAACATTTTCAGATCATGTGAGCCATTAATATAGTTGTATCTCACCATAGTATGCTGCCTGGCATATGTGTTTGGTGAATGGAACATGATTACTCTTTTACCAACTTATTGCTGCTCTGCATGTATCAATAAATATAATCAGTATTGTTTAGCTGTGTTTTCTTGCTATCTGTTGCTTGAATGGCTACATATTACTGCTGTATTATAACAATAATAAAGATATTAATAATTAGAATCTTTCCTTCAAACAAGAGGAAATAATAAAGATATCAATAACAATAATATTATTATTACTGTTATTATTTATAATAAAATTAGTAGTAGTAATAACAACAACAACAACAGTACTACTACTACTACTACTACTACTACTACTACTACTACTAATAATAATAATAATAGTAATGATCATGATAATTATTCTGATTATTTTATATATAAAGCACCTTTCAAAACTACAGTTACAAAGTGCTTCACAAACAAGCACAAATAACAGAAAGCAGAAGAGCAATCAAATACAAATAAAACAACAAAAAAGCCTAACGGTAACATTCAGTCTTGAAAGATAATTTAAAAGAAGTCAGTGAGTTTATAGTCTGAAGTTCCTCTACAAATGTTATTTGTATTATTCAACAAACACGTTGCGGTTTCCTGTTACAGCGTGACAATCAATCACTATTCTGCTACACTGTGGCGCTACACTGTGGTGCTACCTCATCTGAGTCTGTGTGCTCCTGGTGGTAAAGTGCATATCAAATGTAGAAACGTTGTTTTACACAGCTTCAGGTATTATTCTGTGCAGTAACTCATTCTTTTTCATTTATAAATGAAATTTCAACACAGAAAGAGCTTTTGTTTTTTTTACAACTAAACGCATTGGGAGTTGAGGAAGTTTAGTCCCGAGAGGTTCCACAGCTTATTCAACACTTTTAAACTTGTGCGTGTATGAGTGTGCAGGTTAGGCTTTAACATGGGTTTAGAGAGACGTTAAATGTTGTAGGAATCCTGAATATACCTTCGGGGTAAGACCTGTCACACTCACTTGTTTCCCAGACTGTGGCTCTTCCTGTGGTGAGAGGGAGGGGGGGTGGGGATATGAACCCCGACAGAGGCGTCGGGGCAGGTAGGCCGTCGGTTATACCGCAAAGAGGCAGATACCTCGGACAGACCTGAAACACAGAACAATGTCATTACTATTATCATCAGAGATGAGGGGTCATTGTTATGCTGCTGATTAGTGCTGGGCGGTATACCGGTTCAATACGGAACGCAATAACGATCCAGCTATGCAAGGACATGGTCCGCTATAGACAGTCGAGAAAGACGGGTTCAGAGCAATGATTAAAACACTGGATTCAAGGTACGTCTTACCGAGGCGACAATACTTCAGCCAAACTGCTATCCCAACATTATAGGAACAAACGAGCACAGCTTTTATATTCTATGTACTTCTGACAGTAGAGTAAGCCACTATAAACATATATAAAAACACAGTCAAGGAAAAAAACAAATACCGTGATATACCGTGAAACCGCCAGAATCTTAGAAAAATACCGTGATACACATTTTTGGTCATACCGCCCAGCACTAGTGTTGATTAAACAGACTTATAGATACATCTCTAGATGTTGACAATGTTTCTTTTTAATGTTGAGTGTATAATTGTTAGAGGCATACACACAGATATATTTCTAAAGTATTCCTTTACTGTAACAAACGTGCTTATTTGAACCTAAACAACAATCTTTCTCTAACCTTAACCAAGTACTATTGTTGTGTAAGTAAACCTAAAAACTAAGCAAACCTACGTTGGAAGTTATTTTAAAAAGAGACTACATGCATGTAACAAGCAGAAACTGTTTTCTGTAAACACAGCAGTTTATTTTGAAGAAACACTATGCTTGTAGCGAGCAAAAACTGACACGCCGTCCCTAACACGTCCAAAACATAGACTGGGACGTAGTCGTCGTGACGTCACCCATTGGTTTGTGGATTGACGTTTTGAAGCCTCAAGTTTGGCTAATTGGCCGTCGCCATCTTGGCTTTTTTGCAACCAATGAATGGAAGTGACTATATTTGGATTGTGGAGGAGTGACGTAGAGATGCAGTGTACAGCTCTGGTAGCAGCAGCGACCTGTCAATCACACTAAGCCTGCCCTAAAGCATACCCTGCTTTATGGTCTATGTGACTCTAAATGGACCATAATGTACTAAATGAACATCATGCTGTATTGAAGAAGACTTGAAACTAGAGATTGAGACCATAAACTCATGTTTACAATGTTTACTGAGGTAATAAATCAAGTGAGAAGTAGAGTCATTTTCTCATAGACTACCAGACAGTCAGACCTTTTTTTCCAACCAGAGAAGTCGCCCCCTGCTGGACATTAGAGAGAATGCAGGTTTAGGACGCTTTAGCATTGGCTTCACTCGGCAGAACCGGAGATTTCAGCCTGGTCCAAAACTGACCCCTGGAAAGGTACCTAGAGCATCATAGTTTGAAGCGCTGGGACACTGACCAAGTGTCGGTATTTGACGAGACACGGCTACATAATATCGGATTAGTGAGTGGTGCAAACTCCCAAAACCATTTGAAATGACCCCAAAACTAAATGACACACAGTAAACCTGTGCCCTCTGTGTCATTGACTGCTTAGCGAGGTTGGCAACTACATGAATCAGATCCACTAGATGGAGCCAGCGAGGCAGAGAATGAAAAAAATAAAAAAAACATTATTTCCATCGGAAACCAATCCCTTCATCAACTGTAGGGACTCTGTCTAAATGTTCTGTGTGAATGTGTTAACAGGTCTGCCCATATAATGCTATCATCAGTCCAGCCAGAGTTCTGCTCAGGTTCTGGCAGGACTGAGTTGGATTGGTAAATTAAATCAGAGTGATCACGTGCATTATGTGGTGGTGGAACCTCTGAGTCATTCTGTTCCCTCTCACTGGAAACCCACTGAGGCCATTCAAGCAGCTCGACATGACCAGTTTGGACCAGGCAGGGGAGTCTATGTTCATCATGCTCAGCTTGGAATGCTTCTGACTTGTACAAAGTCATTTTGTGGTGTTAAGTACCACGAGCATTAGAGTAGGAACCGCTGCATTAGAGGACAGACGGACTGTGATTGTGCCTGTTGGGTATTTTGGTGGGGGAAGCAGATAGATTCCCACTGATGATGTTTCTATGGAATTTGTTCAAATTAGAATCTTTCCTTCAAACAAGAGGAAAATGTTGACTCATCTGCAATTTTGTAATCGCGAAACCTATGTGGTGAAGTCAGAATTACAGGAATGTAATGTGGCAGGATAAATTGATCCCTCTGGGACGGAGGCTGCCTTAATGAATCTACTATTAGCTAGTAAAGACACATGCTGGTTTGGGTTGCTGCGGCTTGCTTTCTGCACACTCAGCAGAATAGCACCCAAGTCTGAATACTCACTTCAAGTATACAAATGTTATTCTTCTTCTCCCCACACAAATTCACGCAACGCCTAATAATATCTAATAATGTCGATATCAGCCGCCCTGGGAATGAATACTGATTCACCAAAGACATCCATATAAAAATTTTAACGTTTTAAGTTTACAAACTTCATAATGTCAGTGTTTCAAAAGCACTACTTAATTTGATTTATGATCATATTTTGTTTTGTTCATTCACTGCAAGATATATAAAGACAATTTACAGTACAATAATTTGAGAAAAAAAACATGACTGAATCAAAATACATAACACTGAAATTGAGTGACATAAGCAATATTTCTTGGGACTTTTAACAAAGGTGGAAAAAAATGTTGAGCTAGAGGTTGTTTAAAGAATAACACCAATAACTATCCCAGATGAGTTCTATCTACAGACGAGTAGAAGAGGGTTTCAACAGTTCCATTTTCAATGAAAAAATTCCATTTAATAGAAATAGAGCATTTCATAGTTAGTGACAACAGTCAAAATGATGTCGGCGGAGGCATCAACTGTTGCTAACATTAATTCTGTGCGTAACTTGACGAAAAGCCAAACTTTTGGCTGTTGTCTTGTTAATGTGCTCGCTGCAAATCAGCCAAAAATTATCTGTTAATCCATGAAAAGGAGCACTAATACTATTCTGGAGGGCCATGGTGGCTCTACAATTTATTTTGGTTTACCATTTTGCTAAATACATGTGGGTGTCATTGGCTTAATGCAGCCGATAGGAAGATGCACACACACACTAGGACTGGCAGCTTCAACAACGCAGGCACAAACAGAAAAGCTGTGATCTCACAACAGGAGCTGGACATGTCCTTCTGATGTTAGCACATCTCTAAGCTACCTCAGCTGCTGCTGAGACACTGCACTTACTGAAGTCGTGAATGCTCTTCTGCTTTCTATGGATCTGGAATCCACCTCAGTGCTTCTATAGCTGGACCTCAGTCTTCGTTTTGATACTGTTAATAATTGTATAAACCTTGAGCGATAGGGTAAACAATTTGGCGTATCTGGCCTTGCTCTGGCGTGGTTACAATCTTACTGACCCTGAGTAATACGACATCAACAAATACAAAGTACCTCAAGGCTTCCTCTGCTTTTCTCTTATCTTTATATTTCACCTCTTGGCCAAGTTATACGCAGTCATCAAATTAATTTCCACTGCTATGCTGATGATACTCAGCTCTATATGCCTATAAGCGCGGATGGTCCGTCCAAAATGATTGAATTAGAGGCTTGCTTGTCTGCTGTGAAAGACTGGATGTTTAGTAATTTCTTGCTCCTAAACTCTAATAATACTGACATGCTGGTCATTGGCCCTGCTCAACATAGACAACAGTTTGATCAAGTAACAGACAACTGTGTGATATCTCAGAGTTGAATCGAACGCAACACTAAGATTCTTGTCGAACTTTTTCTTTTGATCAGAACGTTAAAGATATCACCAAGATCACCTTCTTTCACCTACGCAGCATAGCTAAAATCAGATATTTTTCATTCATGGCTGATGCAGAGATCCTAATCCACGCCTTTGTATCATCCAGACAGGATTATTGTAACGTTTTATTGTCAGGCTATGTGCTAGAAGTCTTCATTAACTCCCAATCCATGTCAGACCAGACTTTACGGTGCTTCTGGTGACTTATAAATACCTGATCTCTTTATACCTTATACCCAAATCAGGACTCTCCACTCAGAATACAGGGCTCCTGTCTGTCCCCAGAATGAAACAAAGTCAGCTGGCCAAAGGCCCTCTTCCTAGCCTGCCCCCTTCCTTTTGGATAACCTTGCTATGGAGGTATCATTTTTTGCCCTAACTTTCAGTTAGTTGCTTATTCTTTGACTACTTCAGACCGTGTACCTGATACCATTATATTTCCAGCTGGTTGGTCTCAGCCAAGTATTTAAAATCCTTGTTAGTCCTGCCAACGAGAATACTGTGAACTTTCTGAAAACCATGGCACTCCTTATCTGCATTCATGGGCTATACTGTATATGAGTTATGAAAAATTGAAATGAGCCAATATTCTTGAGATGATCTGAGCTAGAGTCACGTACAGCACCACCACCAGAGGGCTTTCTCCCCGTTTACAGCCGTTATGTATGAACATCATGTCACGTGGATTTTCTCTTGTTTTTGTCCTTGCACACATTCTGCTCCCCCATGTCATCCTACACTGACCGGTTGTACATGGAGCGAGTGAGTAAACCCAATTCTTCTGTTTGGCAGTGTGTGAAGTGCATGACACTTGTTTATTCTGAATGAGCCAACAAGCCAGGGGACACAGCCAGAACAGGCCTTTCCTACCATGTTATATAAATGATCATCGGAACAGCTTAAGCAGGAAAAATCGTCTGTTTTTGTGTCCTGATGAAACACTCATATATCACTCAAGTCAGAACAAATATATGTACAAGTCCATTCAAAGCAGCACGTTTGATATACACATGTTGAATAGTGAGTAAAAGGAAAAGGGGAAATTACTTAAAATGCACATTTTTCATCAGTTACGTTCACATCTACATTTAATGTGTACAAGGCAGCATGTCTGCTGTACTTTTTTGCTGACCCGTAACGGTGGAAAGTAACTAAGTACATGTACTCAAGTATACTTCAGTACGATTCGGAGGCTCTTGTACAGTGCGTTTGCTTTCTTTTTTCACTTTATACTTTTTTCCGCTACATTTTAGAGGCA